AAGACTACAATGACATCGCTGTAAAGCAGCTAAATATAATCCTCTGCTGCAGCCTTAAAAAAAATAAAACTTCACCAAGCTTGCAGAGCGGCATGGTCTCCTCAAGTGGTAACCCTGCACTAAGTCCCTAACCTGCCCTCTTATTGATCCAAGGACCCTCGTGTCCCGGTGGAACGCTAAACACAGCTTTCTATTCTTTTATGCTTCCTCTTTATGTTTTTCCATCCCCTCATCTTTTTTGTTGTTGTTTGCCTCTGTAGTTCTGCACATCATAAATCTCTGTCAGCTGCTCCTAAGGCGTCTGGCATATCTGTTAATAGAGAGGCTCCTCCCCTCTCTCTCTTCAGGTCCACCCCCCTCCTCTCAGTCATCTCTCTGCCGGAGCAGCACTAATGAATGAGAAACTCCAAAATTAGAGGCCTCTTTGTCATAGATTAGAATTGGTCCCTCTGGAGTGCCAGGTTTGCCTCTAACCTAACCACAGCCGTCAACCAGCCCTCCTCCCCCATATCTCCATTTTTCATTTTCTGTCTTCAGCACATACACACTCAGACATGAGATGAGACACAACAGACACACACATTCTCACGTCCTAAGAGTCTTCTGGCCTCTAATTCCCGTGATGGTTATTAACCTGGAACAAGTTACACACAAAAAAAAAGCTTTTCTATTTTAGTGAAGTGTGTTTTGGAATCTCCACCAGCTTTACAACTTTCTCACAAGCTTCAGTGCTTTTTAAAAAATATACACGTTCTGCTGCGGCGACACACACCGAGCGCTCCAGGTGGCATACAAGCTTCTGAATGTATTTCTGTAGATTTTGGACTCTTTTGTCCCCACCAAAAATGAGTCCCTTGGCTGTGGCTGTCGGAGCGCTAAAAGGCAGCAGTGGCCCCTGGAGGAGAGGTCAGCATGGCAGCTGCTGGTGAGTCTGTGTGGTGGGGAGGCTGAGCAGGGCAGAGAGAGGTCTGTCAGGAGCTAATTGAGTTCGTCCTACCAGCGCTGACTCTGGGGCCAGTGGCTTATCAGGCCACATCGCCTGAGGTCCTCAAGACAGATTTGCCCCTACTGGGGCATCTGATATCACCATCGCCCTGACTTCAGATGTCAACCCCCTGCCATCAACGTTTTTCGCGTCACTTACACAGTCTGATCAGGTTGCAGGGATGTGACACTCTCTGGGATGAGGTGAGCAAATCTTATAGGATGATGTTTTTGACTTCAGGTGGCCCTTAGAGTGAAACATTAGGAATTTAATATAACTTTTGGAACAGAGTTGTTTTGTTTGTTTAAACTTAAACTACAAGTATGCTGCAGTCACACAGAGGAGGATGTCTTTACACACTAAGCTCAAGGAAGACTACCGTATTTTCCGGCGTATAAGTCGCAGTTTTTTTGCGTAGATTTGTCAATCCTGCGACTTATACGCCCAAGTGACTTGTTTACTTTTTCATATTCATAACACAATTTTTGACTGATGCTTTAAATTTCGAAGAAGTGCAACAGCGAGTCCTCCCATTTGCTCTCGCTTCACTCAGCTGGTGCAGACGGATGAACGCTGGAGCGCTAATGGCTTCGGCTGCGATGGATGGATAGCACCATGCTGCTCAGGCGAAATTAAAGCTGTTTTGACCATTAAAGTGCATTTATTTAGGAAAAGTTAAACTGAGACACACATTTGCTATAACGTCGAGCAAACAAATAAGTGTTAATCTTGTTAAATTTCAAAGAACTGCAACAGTGAGTCCTCCCGTGCGCGCTCACTTCACTCAGCTGGTGCAGGCGGAGGAACGCTGGAGAGCTAGCGGTTCTGGCCACAATGGATGACACCGCCCAGGTGAAATGAAGCTGTTTTGACCATTAAATAAACGCATAATAAATGCGACTTATATATGTTTTGTTCCTCCTCATGATGCTTTTTTTGACTGATGCGACTTATACTCGGGAAAGTACGGTACTTACAAATTGACTCAATTAGATCCTGAATGTGCCCACACAACAGTGACCCAATGTTCAGAAATTCGCTTGCAGGTGAGAAAAAGTGTTGAGACGAGAAGAATAAGAGCTCCACAGTTCTCTTCTTGAAAGAAAAGACACGGAGAGCGCGGACGAACCGCCAGATCGTTAGGCCAGCTAATCCTGGTCACAGCAGCACCACTGGAATGATATTAGGGATCTGAAATGCTGTTAGGAGGGCCAGGTGGAATCAGATTAAAACCAAACTGCGCAGTGTGCGTTTGCGAGCCCATAACCTACTACTCAGCATGAATTTTGATCGGTACAAAGGGAACAAAAGGAGGAGGAACAGAGAGAGGGGGGAAAAGAAAGGGGGAGATACTGTGTCTTAGAAGAGAGCTGTTCCTTTGGGCAGCCAGGCAGCAGAATTTGAAAAAGCTCTTACCTTGAGGAAGGAAGAAAGAACTATAGATTTTACAGCATCAAGTCTCAGATAGTTCAGCAAACCCTTTCCTGTCGGCTCTGTCTGTGTAACACACAAGCTAATTACTACCTGCCCTGCACACTGAATTATTTATTGCAACTATTGCTGCTGTCAAAAAAATGTAATGCTCATAATTCATTTTCCTCGTACAGTTGTATTTATAGATTTAAATTGGACCTGTCCTACTAGAGATTACAAATATTTATAGAAATATTTTAGGCTATTTGATTAATATGCCAGGTTTAGGTGGTTAGTATTCCTCCGTATCATTAATCAATATAAGCAGCCTTGTTAAAAACATAAGCATAGTGGTCGTACTAATGTGTCATAGCAGAATGAGTTAAGGAGATTCTAGTCTGCACATTTATTATAAATGACCATATTGAGCTGGAGGGGAAACAGTTAAGACACTTATGCAATTATGCTAAGTGTCACCCTAAGGATGGCCTTTGAACTGAGGTTAAGCTTACACTGAATTTGTGAAATAAAAGCTAAATGGAGCCATCTTGCGCGTCTACGTTTTAATATATCGCCTTTAATAAGCCAAGTGCAGGTGGCCTATCGTGCAGGTGCACATATCCATCTGAAACGTGGAGCATAAAGCAGATGAACACAGAGATGTGCGTTAATTTATAGGGATACAATCTGCATTCATTATAGGAGAGACTTTTTTTTTAACATATTTTAGAAAGAAGAGGAAGCACTTTCTCCATTACTCCATTACTGCATGAGCATTAAAGAGAAAATGGAGGCTTATATGCATTGTTTAACCTCAGAGTTACTAAAAAATGCAATGGGATTACATTTTCTCCAGCAAGAAGGAGGTTGTGTATCATTTTATACAGTGAAGATTGAAAGGAGAATTCCAGGACGCCTCATGCACAAGGGCTTATCCCACAAGGTCAACAGTTTTAACTGGGGACATTTTTTATTATTTATTTTAGCAGTTAACCTTTTTGTGAATTTCCAGAAGTGGTAGGCACCCAGAGCTGCAATGAATATACATGACAGCAGGGAGGGGAAACCCAGGAATGAGATTTAATTTGACACGCTGACCCCCATCTCTACGGGCCATGGAAGCCAGGGTGAGAAAATAAGGTTGACCCACTGACCCCTGGGCTTGAACCCCTCTGTCACCCATCCTCGCAATTAAATCAGCCTGAGAGAGCAAGAAGATGTCTGGTCAACCAATAGGGGCCACTGCAGCTGCGTACTGCCATTTCCTGTTTTGTTCTAAAGGGGCTCTAGACAGAACCCAGTTGGAAACATTACCCTCTTCCAGTTCTGATGGTAAACTGACTTCTCAAATATGTAAACACTATTTGGCAATATGCTAATGGCACTAGAGCACAACCTGGGTTGTCTAGTTGCCACTCCATCAGAACTCCTGTATCTACATTTGCATAAGCCATGCAAGGCTCAATTTTGCTAATGCAGGCAAGTGCAAGCAACCTCTTACCCTTTCCGTGGTGCCTAATGCAAACGGGTGTGCGTATTTGTTAATGTGTGACCTCGCCTTAACCTTAGGAGGTTACTGTGTCTACACAGCGTCCCCAATACACCGAGTAATTCATTTCTTCTCCTTGTTCCCCTCTTCAGTTCACTCCGTATGCACATTGTAGGGTTTAGCCGCTGCCACCCCCAGCCCTTTCCCCCCACACCCACTGTTCACTCAGTGCAATTTCAAGTTAAAGGTTATAGAGCAGGACTGAAATACATTTATATGGCCAAGGAAGGCTTCAGAGTGCATTTTGTGGCCGCAGTCAAAAGGCTGCACTTTAGTCTGCACACGTTACAGCATTAGATTACATGTACTCCAAAATACAGTTATTAGACAGACAGTGAAAAAGTCAATATCTTGCCATCATGTTTCCTTTTGGTTGACTGCTGACTCAAGGAGACAAGCCAAGGTCCGCTGTGCTCTTTAAACTATTGAGATGCCCCCATCTTGATTTGCTTTGTGTTTGTGTGTGTGTGTGTGCGTGTGCTTTTGTGTTAGGTTATTTCAGAGCGTTCGCTTTCTGTGCCGCTGTCTCTCATCCTTTTCCAGTTTCCTCTTTCTGTCTGTGTGTTTGCGTTGAGCTGAGTGTGTGTGCAACTGTGTGTGTACTCTGAAGGACTTTTAACAGCTGCCATAGTGTGTAGCTAATGAAGCACTTAGGATTCTGGTTTACTGGTTGATGTAAATGTTGGAACTGCTGATTAGAGCTGCACAGTGTATTGATGATTTATCGTCATTGCTCTATCAAAGTAGCACTGTGTGAAATATCGATGTTGCAAATGACTTGAATAAATCGCAGAGCCAAACTGCTCCTAAACTTTTTTTCTCATTGAGTTTGGCACGATGAAATTGTGAGACGCATCATATTTGTTGCGAAAAAAAAAAGAAAAAGTTTTTGAGTCTGTAAATGTTATATAAACAGTTTGTTAAAGCATGCATTGCAATTGTACAATGCTAGACTTTTGTAGAGTTCACTGGTAAATAAGATGTATTACCTTCTGAAAATCTCTGCTCATCATTCTTACCTTCTCTTTCTTTCTCCTATCATCCTGACTCCAGGCTGCTGAATAGAATGGCAGCTGATGAACGGCATCTACCCTCCAGCTGTGGGTCCTACATCAAGACCGAACCATCCAGTCCCTCCTCAGTCATCGACACGGTTAGCCACCACAGCCCCAGTGGCAACTCGGATGCCAGCGGCGGCTATGTCAACGCCATGAACAGCCATTCGAACGGCTTGGACTCTCCGCCCATGTTCACCCCCGGCGGGCTCGGTGCTGGCTCCTGCCGCAAGCGCTACGACGACTGCTCCAGCACCATCATGGAGGACTCATCCATAAAGTGTGAATACATGTTGAACTCCCTCCCCAAGAGGCTGTGCCTGGTCTGTGGAGATATAGCCTCGGGGTATCACTATGGGGTAGCTTCGTGTGAGGCCTGCAAAGCCTTTTTTAAAAGGACAATACAAGGTATTTTTCTCCTCTCCCCTACCTCCAGCAAACACTCAGTGCAAGTTGTTTCATCCCGTGTTGACGCATCACCTAACACAAAAACACCGTACATGAAACATTTGGTCTCTCAACATCAGTGAAACACACTCAATCGTTGCAGTTTATTAAATGTAGATACATGCATATACATTTCTACCTCTGAGACCAGCAGCATCCAAGAAAAAATAAAGAATGCAAACTTTTAATTCTTGAACTTTTTTTTTTTTTTACAGGGACAGAATATTTTTGACATAAGACCCAAAAAAACCAAAACATGAGAGTATGATGATCTGTCATGCTTAGTGTACATCATTGCATAGATTCCTGATAAGTCAGGGAGTGAAAGCTGTTTGCTCAGATGCAGATGCAGAAGGGCCTCAGAAACATCTTTTATTATGCTTGCCCTGTGAATATGTGCATGTGTGTGCTTTGGAACCGACATGGCTATCTGCAAGGCACAGTGTTGTTGCTCCTCATTACAGAGGCAATGAAAGACCCCCCACTGTGAAACTGTGCGCTCTGCTCCAGATTAATCAGCAGGAGGAAGATATAGTTGAGACTGGGGGAAAAATCTTCACAACAGGCACAGCTGTTTAGGATTAATCTCCATTGGTTTATAAATGCACTGTGCACTGGAAATAATAAAGACAATAGCTTTGAATGAAATTAAATGCGATTTTTCAAAAGAAAATATGAATTTGTCGTTTTAGCTCTAAAACTATTGTCAATTGTTCTCAGTATTTTTTTAATCAGTAAATGATTGCAGGAATTACAGAGCAGAGACTGCCTGTCTTGATACTAGGTGTTGATTTTGGACCTTACAGCCCTATCAGCTTTAGACAGTCTATGTACCTTTTGCAGGCAAACAAAAGCATTAGGCCAAATCCTCCTGTTTACCCATGCTGCCATCAGCAATCGTGTCTATTGACAAAAGATGAACTTTTTTCCTCAAGTAACATAACTGAGCTTTTGTCCCCTCAGTAAAAGTACACTGACAGCAACACAATTGAACATTAGGAAAGAAAGAGACATCTTAAGTGGAGCATTGGTCCAAACAATTAAGTGCAAGGTACATGGAGGAAAAAATTGAAAGCTCCTCTTTTTTCCCCCGTTCACTTTGCATTGTCGATTTGAAATCCCTCTCTTTCCCTTCTTGGAGGGCTGCCTGTAATGGAGCTAATCTGCCGTCGTTTGTCCGAGCCACAGGAGTTTTGTCAATAACAATCAGCGTTTGGAAAGTGTAATTAAGGCCGAGGCTTTTCATTAGGAGGAAGGGAGGGGGCCGTCTCCAGGGACGGGCATGCCAATTAGAAACTCAGGCACGCGTCGCCGGGTAATTTCAAGGAAAGGAGGGGAAAAAAACCAGGACTTCTTTAGATTGGAGAGGGACCCTGCTGCTCTTTCCGAAGAGAGGAGGAGAGGCTTAATGGCATAATAATCAGACAGGGGTCCCGAGCAGTGGAGGCAGGAGGAGACTTTTTGGGGGAGGTGAACCCTTCTGAAATGATGAAAGAAGCACATGCAGTATTGCTGGAGGAAAACGCGTGCAGTAAATCGCACAATGTAGTGAGAGCTCTTGAAAGAATGAGAGGGTGCCGTTGATGAGAACTGATTAATTAAAGGAATAACGAGGCAGTCAAGGGTGGAGTGTGAGACGGCCCACTCTAATGAGAAGAAAACAAAGGAGCTGTCTTTCCCAGGCCTTTATCACGTTTCTTCGATAACACTCAGGGCAAACATGATAAGTTAATGTTAAGCATGTACATGACAGTTTCTTCACCTTGTGCTCACCTTGTGATGCAACAACTTATTCTTTGTAGCAGATTCGTGCTTTCAGATTTTAATATTCCACATACGGTGCTTTCTCTTTGAATCTCATCCTTTTCTGTTTGGACTCCCATTTCTTTAGCTGATGGTGGATGCCTCTTTCTTTTAAACCAAAGTGGATGGCAAATCCACCTCCTGTCACCTAGTCATACAGTGAAAAGCCCTTTGAACTTATACGTGGGGATAGTTGCATTAGTCAAGGCCAGGTCCAAATGAATGTCTAACTTTATCTCTATCCATCCCAGAAATACCCTTGTTCTCATTGCTTCCTTATCATCATCCATCCCAACGTCTCACGTGTCCCACCAATCAAAAACATAAATGCTTTATTGAACTATGCTTTCTTCCCATTTTGAACCCAAGTGTAAAATTGCTTGAAAATCAACTGAACTCGGTGGCCCTCTTTCATGTGAAGTAATAGACCTTGACAGTAAGCCTGTAAAAGTCAGTTTAGATTTTGATGAGAAATACTTGCCATTTTACTGTAATTTACTTACAAGACCTGACTTTCCCCTCTGTGCCCTGGCATGGGTCCTGAAAAGCCATAAAATAGATTGAGACAGATACTTATCAAGAGGGGAAAAAGGAGGGAAATCTTTTTTCTCCATTCACCTTGTAATGTTACGGGTAACCATACCGTAGCCTCTCTAAAGACAGATAAACCTGAACACGACTTTTGGGTTGAAAGGGTTCCGGTCAGTGTGCTTTATTTGGAAAGGTGAAACTTTCCTTGCTGTTCCTGTCACGGCTTTTCTGGACACGATTCTGAAACTCATTTGGTGCACACGTGCTACAAAAGATTCAGAGAAAAAGAATACAAATTGAACCGCATCTATAATGTCAGCATATATATGTAAATATGAATACCTGTTGGATTTTATCTTTAACGCTTGTTTAATATTTGGATCATAAATTTGACCCATTTTTGTCTAAATCACATTTTTTGTTTGCTTTTTAATCAGGTTTTGATAAATATAAGTTCTGATGAGTAAATGTGTATAATGATTTTGGGACTTAGTGATGTGGGACTTCAGTGTGTGTATACTGATACCGAAACACTCCCAGCTCTAAAAATAAACCATATGCAGACATGAGGAATTGGTTAATCCACCTATTGCTCTGTAGTGAGCCTTGAGAATCTTGATCCGATGGAAAATTCAATGAAGCTTGGTGGAACAGGTGGATAAATTGAGAATGTAATTTTATTTTATTTGTAAAGGTGGAAGAAAGGACAAGTAGGGAAAAAATAACTCTATTGGCAAAACACCCTCATGCTGTCAGGTTGGAGTATTCAAAATGTATATAGGGCACTCATAAAATACTAAAATCCTAATTTACTTGACATGTATTTAGTATTTTACATGGCAATTTATTGGTTAGTGTATCTGGACAAACAAAATAAGACTGAAGCATTAAGTCCCTGCAGGACTGCGCTGATTACCTCCTCCCACCTTGTGGGAAATGAATTGGATTATTATGGGCTGCTCTGCTATGACAACAGAGAAAACAGACAGAGGGAAGGCAATCAGAGCTCATCAGCTGCCTCTTTCACACCTTTATTTACCCCAATCTTGAAGAGATGATGGGAATTAGCATAATGATTTTCAAACCCAGATAAAAGGAGGAATTTCTAATTATTTATAACATCTTGGGACCCTCCTTTTGATCTGTCCAATAATGTTAACATAATTGCATAAGTTGTCAGTGGGTGTAGCAGGGCTGGTGGAGGGACGCTGGTGGAATAATACACAGCTTTCTTACACAAATGTGGAGTGAGGGTCAAAGTTGAAGAGCAGGAACAAGATGTTTGGATGCAATCCTGGTATATGTCTGTGAACGTTCACCACTAGAGGATGTACTAGATGGACATTTTGCAATAAAGTGAAATTTGTTGCTTGCTTACTACGTGTACTTTTCAAATGATAATGATTGTCAGATTTGAGCACAGTGCTGGAAAAGACACAAGAAGTTGAAAGAAAAATCAGTGTCAAAAACTAGGAAGCTGGAACCCACTCAGGATGAGGACAATTCAAATTCCTGGGCTTGAAGCAACTATTAGACTGAAACCCTGTATTGAGACCCTCTGAATACAGTTAAATGTAGGGAGGCGGGCAGAGATGGGACTCGTATATCCTGCCCGCTGTATTCGTAATGCCAGAGCAGAGCTCTTTCATTGTGTAGCAATGAAACTCTTTCAAGATGCTGCCATTGAATAATGCATAAGGCCTCTTTGCCTGTACACTATATAAATAGTCAACAATAGCAACAGTGGTAACAACAGGTTTGGGTCTGCAGGAGTATTATGTAAAGTGGTCCGTGGCGGCGTGTCTGGCTCTCTAGCCTGCTATTGAAGCAGTGGCAGGCCCCTGTGAGCGCAGGGGGACATGGCCAGCGCCGAGGCCTGGAGGGGACATGCACAGAATTAATGAGGCCAATTTAGTGTTGGACCAGAGTGGCATCTACTGAACAGTCCTGAAGGACCATTGTAGCTTTACCTTAACCCACCCCCACATCATTGCACTTTGACCCCACCTCTCCACATGCCGGGGCTGAAAGATACTCACTGGAAGACTTTTCATCCACCTGCATTTTATTAGATTTTTATGTCTAACTGGCTAAAATAAATATTTATTATCAACTGTTTTATGACGGCAGACACATTAGTGGTTGTTGCATAATTAGCAACACCTGAAGTTTATAAAATGTAGTTTCTTATTAAGAAAGTGTTCACTTTTAAATCAGTTTTTGTGTGCTAACCTGCTCCTTCTTGTACTCCGCAGGTAACATAGAATACAGCTGTCCAGCTACAAATGAATGTGAGATCACAAAACGGAGACGCAAATCTTGTCAGGCTTGTCGCTTCATGAAATGCCTCAAAGTGGGGATGCTCAAAGAAGGTAAGAAGAGTAAGCACATTTTTTATTATTATTCCTACACCCATGTAAACAACATGACAACATCACACACGTTCTCTGAGGATGATTAAGTTCCAGATTGTTGCAGCCGTCACTTCTACTATAGTTTCTTTTTGTGCCTACAGCTTGCTCCGTGGTACTTCCCCTACCTACACAGCAGTAAATAATGTGCAGTTAAGCTGGGGGGAGGGGGGGGGGATGCTGAATAGGTTGATCCAGCTGTCTGACAGTAGAAATGTAACAGTATTCCAGCTGGAGAGGCTCACGCCGGGTCCCTCAGCACACACTCGCCACAATCTCAGCTCTCCTGACATATCGGTCCACTAAATGTTTTCCGAAGCGATCTTCCTGTGGAGGGTTTTTTAAAGTCATGCCACCAGGGAATTCAGTGACAATTAAACATGCTTCAGCTGGATTTATCTGGCCAGGTTTGCTCTCTCACTAAATACTGCCACTAACAGAACCCCCCCAAGAGAATCTGAGTTTTTGATTCTCTTTTAGTGGAAGCACCTTTCTGCTTGTTTTGAAACCCCACTGTATTTTGCAACTACTGTATGGCAAACATTTTCATAAAATCAGTTTGGCATTAAGATGAAATGGTTTAAACATCAACAATAAAATTGAATCAGAATTAGATCATTCAAGGTTCTTTATTTGTCATACACACCACATGTGGCACATGTGGTGGAACGAGATTGTGTACACAGGGTCCCATTTACATCCAACAAAAGTATTGCAGTGTAGAAGAAAAACTGTAATAAGATCTAAGATATGAACTAAAAAAAGTGTTGGCTTCAAATACGTTAAGCACTATAGTATAAAAAACAATACGCCAAACAGCAGCACGAACATGAGTCTGTGTGAGCAGATGAGTACGAATGAACACAGCAACATGAAATAAATCAGCAGCATAATGTTTTTTTATTTTATTTTTTTCATAGTGATTATCCTTAGATATTTATGAGTCTAACAGCCTCAGGGTAGAAGCTGTTCCTCAGTCTAGTGGTTCTACACTTAATTCTCCTCAACCTCCTTCCTGAGGGGAGCGAGGCAAAAAGTGTGTGCTGGGTGAGTGTGGTCCTTCATGATGCAGGTGGCCCTTTTCCTGCATCATTTGCATAAGAACTAGAACAACTTAGTCATTACATCAAAAATACCAGTAACTCAACAGGACACTGTGGATTTTTGGTATTTGAAAACATTTTTTAGGCTACATATAATTTGTTTTAGAATCCGCATTAGTCAAATATTTTACCGTAGAGCTGCAGTGCAGAGACTCAGCCCATTTCTCTCTGTCAAAGAGACTGGCATGCTCACATTACATCGATCCATCTCCTCTTAATGTACAGAAACACGAGCAGAAAGAAGTCTCTTTGGGTACACTGCTTTCTCCTGAGCACTTTCCCCCACAATATTTAACACTTTCTCAGACTCTTTAGGCAAGGTTTATATTTAAAGGGACATTTTGAGAACCAGCTTCAAGATATAGACCTCACTTTGCTACAGAAAGTAATAAATGAGCTCGAAGCCATGAATTGTATCGCGTGGATATTTGAACTTATTTCTAATAAAGTGAGGTTGATTCTTTTGAACAATGTTTCAACAAATTTAATTTCTGCCTCTCTGATTACAGACTTGAGCCATGGCAGCTTCTACTAGCTTCTGTAACAATGTGTATATTGACTATAATTGAATGCATAAAAACACATGTACAAAGTATTTTGATGTAATTTGTCTAAATTATAATATTTTTGGCCAAATCACCCAGCCTTATGATGGTTCTTGGTCACATTATTGTGTTTTTTAAGTGCTAATTATTGTTGTGCAAAGCTCAATTTCCTCTAAAATACTCGTATATATACACATTTTAAAAACGCCACTTTTAGATTATCTGTCTAACTTAGTCTCCCTTTTCTTCCTCTCATTATTCTCCCTTTGGAGTGCAGGATTTATAGATGCATATATATGCAGTCACCACCTGAATCCAGAGTTGTAGACTGTATGGATCCCCACACAGTAACAGAATCCCCTGGACTGCATGCAGCCAGATAAAGCCTCAGTGCCAGAAAGACAGAGTAATCGCATTACTATCTGATGAAAAATTTATGCCAATATATCATCCTGGAGAATAAGAGACTACAAAAAAAATGTGGCCGTGGGTATAAATGAATGACCAGTGTCAGGTCAAAGTTAAGAGAGTGTGAAAATTTGCACACTTCAGCTAAGCCTTGGGTTCTAATGCACTCTTCTGTGAATTCAGCAAATTACCAAAAAATAGAGTAACTCGTCTTTTAAATAGTGGTTTTCCTCACAATGCTAAAGCTGTGCCATTGTCCTTTGCAACTCTTAATATAGACTGATCCTAAATTACTGGTAGGCACAGTTATTAAAGACTTCGGTCATAATTTATAGTGACAGAAAGCACATTTTTCTTGAGCTCTGACATGGAGCCTTGCACTTTAAAATATCACAAAGACTAAATGGAAAGAAAAACACATGGTCTATGTCCACTGTAAGCTCTATGAAGCCGTCAGCTCAACACCATGCTCAGCCTCATGATGTAGAGATGGCCACTGTTCATGTGACTGAGGATGCCGCTTGCTTTCATTACGGAAGAAAGGTCACAATGTGTCTCAATGGAAAATCACCTAATTATAACTTTACTGCTCTAACAAAGTAGTGCTGCCCCCCCCCCAACGAAACAGATATAAATCCATCACTGCCTGACAGCACCAGTTTAATGAAATTAAGCCTTAATATTGCCCACATGTCGCATTTTTTTGTATTTTTATATCTATAAATGTGGCAAGAGGAGGAATAAGCAAAATGTTCTGCTTAAGATAAGCAATCGGATTACTGGAATCACAGGGCACTGGCTAAACTGAGTGTTTAGCCGCTCCACTTTCCTTTGACTGTATAAAAGAGGAAGTGATCAATAAAAGAATCAAATGTCAGAGGCAACAGGTTTTTCCTCTGATCAATGGAAGCGGATCAGAGCTTAGAGCAAGAGAGAGGACAAGATAGTATTGAGAGATTATACACTGACATCATTCAGTAGATGTTGCTTGCTTCATGTCCTTTTTGTGGTTCGGTCACATTCAAGTTTCCTCACATGTGTAAGTGTATAAACTCAGCAAAGTCCAGGAATGAATCTACAGTAATTTTATTCCACTAATGAAGCTCTAGAGAGGCGCTTCAGGCCTCTTGATAAAGTTGATGAGGTACTGTGGGTTAACTTTAGGAGTACAATGCATAAAATATTTATTCTCTGCCTAGAAAACAATTTGGCTGCACCAATATAAAATACACTCTGATAAAATTGCAATGTCTTTACACATGTGTAGTCTCTGGAAGATTATTATACTGAATCAAAGTTGTACAGCATTAAAACAAAAACAATCTGCCACCAAGATTTAGTAATGACTAGGCCTGTCACGATAAACAATAAATCAATTAATCGCATGATAAATGAAAATTATTTACCTCATTTTCATTCATCGGCTTTATTGTTTCTTCTTTTCTTTATTCACTAAAAGCAGCTAAGCTGAGAAACTAAGCTACGAGTTAAACTAACAGACCGACCTCGGGGAAAAAAACCTCAGTCTTACCGAAGCTCCAAAATTCACGGTTGAAATCTGTGCCTTTTGTGTACAAAGTTTTTTTTTTCTCTGCAAAAAGAATCTGAGAACTTGTTTACTGATTTTTTTTTTTTTTTTTTTTAAGCTTTGTGTGAAATATACTATGCTAAAGAGCTCAAACCACATAGAGCATCCGCCATTTTGAAAACATGGAAGGAGAAGACACCCCATGTCACGTCAAGGGGCCTCCATCCCATTTTTCCTAAAGAGATGCTGCTCGCTCCCTCACTATCCATCCTTCGGTTCAAACAGTCTTATAGTGTTGTCTGGTGGTCAAAAAAGGTACTACACGCAAAATAAATTAACCAACATTTCTTGTAAAATTTGACAATAATTACAAATTATTGTCAAATTTCAAACAATATTATCATTTATCGGAATAATTTCAGAGACAATTAATCGCCCTGCAAAATTTGTTATCATGACAGGCCTAGTAATGTATAAAGTAAGCAAAAAGAGGCATTTTTTTGTGGCAAAACTCCCTAAGTTTTTACATCACAGCAATTTACGATCTGAAGTAGATTTAGGTGCCATTTAGCCTTTCTAATTATCAGGACATGTGAGGATGGTAGCTCAGCAGGGATAGCGTAGCTAACCTGTAAATGGAGTATCTGTTGGGGGTGTCAGTATGGCGGCCTCCGGGGTCAGCAGATCAAGAGAGGCAATGTGTGACAATTTTTCCTCTACCCTCGTTCATCACCACTTGTGATTAAAAATGCTGTGACACACTTGCAAGCATGTGAAGCTGGCAGGGCCCCTTTGAAATCGTGCTGACGGCAGTTTAGTGGGGCGGCTTCCTTGAAAGGCAAGGTTCACCATGCCTTGCCATGTGGCCTTCTGATTTTCCTAGCTAAAATAGGGTCTGCCTAAGCTCCCCTTGGCATTGCCAACCATCCCAGACATCCTGACACTTTCCCCATGGAGAGACACCCTGAACAGGTGAGCTACTCAAAATAAGGGCCCCTACCACACAAAGTGATTGAAGACGGGCCTTTTTGTCGGAGTGTGCTTGGAAGGGGATTATTATTGTTTTTGGAGAGAAAGAAGAACCCCAGGTCAGCTGGCCCCAGCCCCCACCTCGAGGCCTGTGTTAATCCGTGTGCAAATGCCAGTCGCCTTGGCCAAAAGCCCCATCCACAAGCGCCCTTCTTTGAAGAGATGATACCCGAGCTCACCCACAGCTACCCTCTCTCCACTGTATAGTGGGCCATAAAACAGAAAGATGACTTTGGATGAGTGGATACGCAACTCTGTGCACATTTTAAACACACCTACCGTTTACTCTGGAGGGAGTGCAATAAACCTACTGGAGTCGGCACCAAAGTTCATGCTCAATAATCCAGGTAAAAATCCAACAATGTTCAGTCAGGTCATCTGGACAGCTTCTTTTTTTTCTGAGACGTTTCAGCATACGCCATAGTGGGAACAAAAAACTGTTTGCTGGTGCTAAGATGGTCTTTGGGGTTCACTCTCTCCCCCGTCAACTCCTCTGAGACAGTCATGTCCAAGTGGTTCAAAACACCAAAGTTCATTTTCAATAATCCAGGTAAAAATACTGAAATAAACTACTGGAGGCAGATCACTTAAAGTGCTAGCTACCACCAGAGACCCAACATAGTGCCCTATAAAGTCCAGCCTGTACCTAACAACACAAATGAATGAGCCTGCCTAGTTGCTCCTAATCACTCCCTCTTCTTCTTTGCTTCTGTCTGGCCCTGTTGGACAGTAAAATGAGACAGGTTAGTGCCAAGCTTTAATTCCTGTCAGCATCTGTTAATTACGGCCAGGACTGTTCTAATTAAAAGAGGCACTGATCTACCTTCCATCGCTGGCTGACACAGCCACATGACTCAACTGGCAGAGAGGAACATGGAAAGTTGAAGCCACCTGGCTGAAGCCAGTCTCACCTGGAGAGCCGAAAGAAACTGTAGAAAGTGGTGACATATTTGACAATGAGGCAAATTTTCCATACCTAAGGTGTTTTAGCCATAATAAAGTAGTTTTGAAAATGCTCCAAAAATGTGTAAGATACAACATCAAAATCTATTTCTTCATATCTTGGTATTTTTGTGTGCTTAGGTCTGTGTGTGCTTGCATTTGTGCATGCGTGTAAAGAACAGGTAGTTCCTTGGGTTCTGGTGGGAAGGATGAGACTCTGTTGGGAATTTGGGGTAATTAGGTTAGTGGGTTGTCGGTGTCAGGAAATTGAAAGACAATCCTAATCAGATTTGTGTTTCTAGGGAATCAAATCATCTATATAAGTAGACAAAATCTGCAGTTGCATGATGATACATTTTCCTGAAACGCTGTGCCTACATTTATGTGCTCTGATCGTGTAATGGTGAAAATCTAGAGTTTTGCATAAATCTTTGTTGAATTCCTCTTTGCTAAATGAAGCCCTCTGCTTTTCATCATCTGATTTGCCTTTCGCTCTCGTTCACTGGGCGACCTCCAATCGTTGTGCATGGGACACATCCAAATTCATCCTCTCCAAGAGCACTTGCTGATGGGCAAATTGTATTAGGCTCATTTGCAGTGGCCACACAATACCCAGGTTTGACACCGTCCTTCCGGTTATAAAGTGATGAAATCATCAAGGAAGTGCTTTGGCTGCGGGTGTTCTTCACTCAGAGGACATAGGAAGCTGACAAATTAACTCCTCCTCCACCTCAAGTCTTTTATCGAACCTTTTGTCATCCTGCCTTTTAATATTAAATTTGTTTGCGGGGTTACATTATGTATACAGATTGAAGGGATGCTCCCTCTTGACAGGATTAAAATTTAGGTCTCACGACTGCGACGACACACAAATACAAGGACGCAGGTTTTAAATGTTTGCACACAATTGCATTAAACAACCAAAAACCTGTTTAGTGATATCAAAAGAATAGAAGAGCATAGATGAAATATGCTAACAATGTTGAAAATTAATACAATGGGAAAAAAGACATCCAAATAGAAACATTCTTATCAAATAATGAGATAATAAATAACTTATGTTACGATGAGACTGGCTTGACATTTACAGTATCAGTGTGCAACCTGCCCCGCTAGGTGTGGCTGGGGGTGATAAGGCCTTCGTGCTCCTCCAGTGAAAGAGGGGTGAAATAGGGGTCTTTTATGGGAAAGCAATACCTAGTTATCTATCTGCAGTATGACAGTAGAAGCTTTGTGCATTATGTGTGTGGCTATGTCTTTGCTTGCTGGCTGGTGTAGTTTTTGTTTGTGCCTATTGAGGAGAGCACACCTGAGTCTATGAGCAGGTAGCTAGCAGCTAATTAGTATGCAGTCTGCCTTACCCCAAAAGCTAAATAATTAGAGGGCCAGTCTGTGAGATCATTGACCCTGCATTAAATATTCATATGTTTAGACCTGCTCTGGGCTCAGCTGTGTCACAGTAGACCAGCCAGGCATAGACCACATATGGGAAGGCAGCAACCCCACTGACACACACACACACACATGCACACACAGGAATGCATGCTTACATAGACATATGCCACAGAGCAGTTCTTTTATTTTGCTTGTGTGCATAAAAAGGGACCAACATTACTCATTTGGGATTTTGCGTTGTAAGTGGGACATTTTACCAAAAATATTTTGGATTTGTTAAGATTGTTCACATGTTTTAAATTGGGGTTTTGTGGAATGATTATGAACGGTTTATGTCTTACCTCTTGTAGACAGCTTTTTGCACATCAATAAAAAAAAAAGCTCAACTTTAACCAGATTTATAAGCTAAAGACTAGTCCAAATAGAACCGAAAGTAGATTTGTTGCCATTTTTAAGCTGTTCTAATAAGAACATTTTGTAGTAGTTTAAATTATTTTTAAAATGTCCTGATGCAGGTAGATGCATCTAACAAGGTTGAGTCAGGTCCTCTAGACTGATTCTTCTTTGTTGAAACGTTTCGTCTTTATATCCAGAAGCAAAGAATCCATCCAGGACACCTGATTCAACTTTGTTAGAGCTATTTTGAAAACCTTGACATTGCAGTCAATTTTGCATTACATAGTGACTGTGGCTGCTCTTATTTATTACTCTTGTAAATAATCATAGTGTTTTTTGTAATTAACCATGTAATGCAAAACTAACAGCAATGTAGAGATTGGAGTTGTTTTAGAATAACAATCCACTTTGGAAAAGTTCTGTCAGAATAAAACTTTTTTTTTTTGTAGAGCATATAAAATTTTAATTGTTCCTAACTATTCCAGAGCACCCCACTTTAAAACATTTGACCTATTCCTGTAATGTCTGTTTTTCCTTAAAATTTCGTCAGGAAAAAAGACACTTTTCATCTCATGTCCTTTCTTTCTCTACGTCAGGGGTTCGGCTCGACCGTGTGCGAGGGGGCAGACAGAAGTACAAGCGAAGGCTGGACTCAGAAAACAACCCGTACCTGGGCTTGACGCTCCCCCCTCCTACCAAAAAGCCTCGTGAGTACTGCTCCGTCACTAGCCCATTGTCTCATTCTTCTGTCGCCCCTCCTCTGCCAGGCCAGCGTGCAGGTAAAGCTGAGGCACAATTCTAGGCCAAACTCATGTTTCCCTGTCTCTCAGGCTTGAACAGGAGAGTTTGTTGGTGTGAAGTATAGGCCATGTATTGTTCTGATCAGAGCTGAATTATATGAAGTCTCTGAGAAGGTGACCAATATTGGACAACTGGAGACTACTGGAGGCACATTTTCACTCACAATTTAATTTTCCTCATATTTATTTATTCTGGATTAGTTGTAAACGAAATTATAAATTATACATGATCATTCTTTTGGATTTATCATGTTTATCGGTGACACTGTGGGTTTTGTGACCTCTGACCTCTGCTTTTCTTTTGCACCCTCCACTCCTTTCTATCCTCAGTCACAAAGATAGTGTCTCACCTGTTGGTAGCAGAGCCAGAAAAGATCTATGCCATGCCTGACCCCACAATGCCAGAGAGTGACATCAAGGCTCTTACAACGCTGTGTGACTTGGCTGACCGAGAGCTGGTGGTCATCATCGGTTGGGCCAAACACATCCCAGGTAGAAAAACACATTTCTTCCTGTTACATTAAATGTTCAGGTCTCTTGTAAACGAGTCCCCAAGGCTCAATGGGATTAACCTATATAAATAAAGGTTGAAGGAATATTATATATTTTGCCTAATGATAAGTCACTGCCTTTGTCGACCTCTATGCATAAATGTATTATGATGTCATTGTATGTTGCAGCTTTATGTTGCGAGGTCTTATTTTTTTGCATCCTTTACACTGTTTCAGGACATGGTGCGAGACATGATTATTTTTTGGCTTCCTCCACCCTCGTGTTCTCTTTTTCTCCTCTGTCTATATGTTGCATGTAACAGATCTCTCTTGTAAATGAGTCTTCGAGGCTCAATGGGAACTAACTTGTATAAATTAAGGTCTAATAATAATAATAATAATAATAATGCTGTATGTAAATGCTGTAGAACTGTTATCTCACTTAATTTTCTTAATGCACAACAAACATTCTCACTAGGAAAATTAATAGAAGCATAGCCTTCGGGCATGTGGAGGATTGAGAGCCATGAGTTTTTTATAAAGCAAATTCAAAATTGTGTTTTAAAAATCACTGCTCTGACAGGGAACCAGACCAGTGTCAGTGCACTGTAAGCTCTAATCACCTGGGAGATTAAAAACAAAGTTTGGGACTCGACCAATAAAATAAGACATCGTATCACACACACATCCACATATGCACACATGAATGCACCCAAGAGCAAGAACGCACAACCATCCATTGAATTATTGATGAGCATAATCATGTTTCTTCCTTGCCCCATAGACGTTGTGATAGACGAGGTGTTAGGTTATAAGAGGCTGTTGAATTAAGGACACACCGCTGAGAGTACACCGCCTCATGTCAGCAGAGATTTCGCTTCCTTCGAGAGTTTTCCTCTGATTTTGACAGAGAACACGTTGTTTAGCTGCTCTTTTTTTTTTGCAACCCAGGCAGATTCTACTTGATCTTGACGCTTGACCCCTATAACTCTAAAGCATTACGATGCTGTTGCCATAAAAGAGTAACAAAATAAATGAAGGTGTCCCTCAGCGGCAACTCCATAACCACCTCTTCTCATCAGCATAACTTGAACAGGCACACAGCTGTCAGCGTGCAGAATATGCGCAACATCACTACAATACTGGTCTGTACACCCTCAATGAAACGCACAAATACAGATGCAGCTACACATATGTCGGTTATTTCAATCATTCAAATTGAATTGAATGGATTAGGATTTTAAATAAAATCAGGTGGAAATGAAGCTGACCTTTTTTATAGTGCTGAAAAGGTATTAGAGTACTTCTCAGAAGGAAGGGTATTAATCAGGTACAGATCTGATAGTAAGAAGATTAGAGGTGGATATGCTCGCAGCGCCTGGCCTCGGCACCGGTGCCTTGCACATCTAAACTGTTTGGATCACTCTCCATGCGTTCGTGCATGGTCAGCAGCCTGAGAGTTTAACCAAGGAGCTTACTCGAGACTGGATCACAGCTGACCCGATAACACACTCCCATTGTTGTGACCCAAAAACTACTCCAGTGCCATAAAATGTGCTCAAAATTCCCATGAGAATAGACTGTGCAAGCAGCGTTCTGCAGGGCACAGACAGGAAAATAAAAGTGAGGATATATTTTGTTTCAACTCACATTCGTAGTCTTATAAGTAAAATGTTCTGTAAGTATTTTTATGCGCTAAACCTTATTTTAAAAAGTGTTTTATTTTAAAGTGCATCATTTTTATAAAACATTCTGTATTTGTGCCATGTATTCAGTTTATACCACCACATATGGTACAGGATGGATGTATGAAGAGTACTAACAGGGTTTGCCTCACATCCTGTAGTTTCAAATGTGTAAATAATAATCATTTTGCCCACACTTCAAGGCTATAAGCCCCCCCCCTTTTGTTATTGTGTTGAAGGTGCCTCCAATTTAAAGGCTGCACAGAATAAGCTGCACAACCTGTGAGATGATAGCATTTAAGATTATTCTGATTTGTTTCTGTGTAAGCAAAACCAACTCACAAATGCATTTGTTTCACTGTTTATCTTATTTAAATGTTGTCACTGTTGCATCATACATGCTATCTTTATATTAAATAATAGTTTAAAATACAAAAAAAGCCCTCCACTTCAGCTAAGTGCTTGGTCTGCATCTGTCCCTGCGGTGGCGTTTGTATTAGGACAGTGGGTGTCCTCTGGCCATGAAATGGCTGCATAATTGAGTTGTACATGGCTGAACCTGATCAGAGACGGTTCACTGGTTGAGCGAGACTCCATGCACTAACACTCAATGCATCAACGGGATCCCAGGCAGTCTACCATGCTCAGCTCCTGCTTTATTTCTCCCTCTTCATCCACTACAGGACAAGACAGGAAACGGGAGAAAAAACTGCTGATTGCATTCTGATGGATTTTTGTGGCCTTGGGCGATGGAATTAAAAAGATTAACAGTTCATTATGAAGTAGAGCACATTGATTAGGGCACTTACAGATGGGCCTATAACTAGAGTCTAAATGCAACAGTTTAAATGTCACAAAAATTGGCACTTAGCTTCTCCCAGTTGACTTTTAATTTCCTCTATTCATAGCTAGCTTTACAAAATGCGTTTCAAAACTGGCATAATGTGGAAAAGAATGGCACCATTGAATGTTAATGTGAGGGTGAGTGGAAGATAAGCACTGCATCAGTAGCGTTGATGATACCTTTACCTTTGGAGGTTCCAATGTCAGATTTGTTTTCTTGGTTGTGAAAGATCATTTTACATACAAGAAGCTCTTTCCAGGTGTAAGTTTCTTTGGCAGTTTAGATAAACAATCAAACTGCTCAGGTAGGTGTCACGTATCAGATTTGTTGAATACAGGTGTGCCACTGCCAGACTGCAGCTTTGCCCTCGTTCTCAATCTGCCTTTGGTTAATTGATAACCACAGCAGAACTTTTGGACATTACAGTCAATGCTCCAGGTACCACTGGGAGGCGCAGTCTATCTCGGCTTCTGTAGCTCGAGGGGTGCAGGGTCGTTAGGAGCAGTGTTAGGGATGCTGACAGATGGTTTGTTGCTCCTAAAGTGCTAACAACCTTTGACACACTTAGCAGTCCGCTGTCCACCCCCTTCTGGCACCCCCTCCATCATGTACAGCTAAATTCCACTTTGTTCAGGAGGTTTAAGGAGGGACTAAGTATACTCAAAACTTCAGAGCACAGAAACCCTTTCACCACCTTTACACTGCTGCCTTCTTTAAAACGGATTGTATGGAATCCTGCATGCCTCCCCCCGCAGTCAGAATGTCATATGTCATATGTAAAAACTGTCATGCATGTCGGAGTGTGTGTGTGTGGGTGGGGGGGTGGCTACTATCCAAACTTGCAGACCTGAGTGTTTTCAGCTGGGAATTCTCTCCTGCTGATTCACTTGATTTTGGGGGCAGCTGTGGCTGAGTGGTTAGAGCAGTCATCCTCCAATGGGACAGCTGGGGGTTTGATTCCACCAGCAGTCGCATGCTGAAGTGTCCCTGGGCAAGACACTGAACCCCTCATTGCCTCTGATGTAGGGCTGAGCCATATCATATCGTTCACGATACCGGTAAAAAAAAAAAGGTTGCCCGGGAAAATAAATTATACTCTAATTTCATGACGTAAATACGTCAGCGTTTCCCCTATCATTATACAAGCAGGGCGCCCCGCCCATTAACAGAACCGAGCGCGCCGAATTACCGAACTGAACTGTGCACACACCCCCACCCCCTACACCCACCTGTCTGTACTGGTGTAACTTTAATTAGCTGCGTGCGATACTAGCTAGCTAAAAAGCTAAACGCAAACAACATGCAGCTCAGCTGTGTCTCTTGAGTTCCACAGTCCATGAACCAAGAACAGAGTCAGGTGATCAGAGACAAAGCATCAGAGAAATTGAATCATTCCTGCAGGAACAGAGGAAGCTGAAACATCAACAAGCTTCAGGGTCAGCTGATCACCTTCTTACAAGTTCTGGAAGTTATAGCTCATTTAAAGGCAACATATATTTTGTTGTATGTTACATTTATGCTCAACAGATCTTAAGCTTCATTTTATTTAGTTATTTTTGGGAAACTCCACCTGCACTTTAGTTCTTGTGGTGGATTTTTTTTTTCTTCTGTTCTATATTTTGTGCAGACTTTTTCAATCTAAATAACAGAAGGGTCTTTTTTTATTTATATACTTTGAAACTGAATACTTCACTAAATAAAGTAATTTCAGTAAAATTAACCCTTGTTTTTTTTAGTTTTTATATAATAGTGCAAAGAAATATGTTACATTAATTTTGTCAAATGAATAACTATGATTTCTGTTTTTTTTTGTTATATCAATGAACTTATCATTATCATCAGAATGCTCTGAAATATCACAATATTATATTTGAGCCATATCACCTACCCCTACTCCCATGCGTGTCCCATCAGTGTATGAATGTGATAAAGCACTCATTAGTCTTTGTATAGATCTAGTAGAGTTATGCATGAATGGGTAAATGAGGCACAGATTGTTGTAAAGAGCTTTGAGTATCTTGATGAGAAAAAAAGGTGATATAAAAGTGCAGTCCATTTACCATTTGATTTTTAGCTGATATATTAGCATCCTGACGTTATATGTTCTGCATTTGTTGTTAGATTTAGGCCCGAAGGAGCTAATGAATCAAGCTTGTTTGCATTGTTTTATTTGTGGCTTGTGTTTTGGGAATATTCATTATCTGTGCTTTATTGAATTCCAGCTCATCAGCCGTGTGTTTGACAGACAACTGGCTGGCGTATTGCTTGTTAACATAGAGGCAGTGATGTCGAAAAGAGATCACACCTCTTGTATGTTGTCGTGTTTGTGTCAGCTCAACCCGGTGCCATAATCACCTACCCTCCTCGAGCCCCCTCAGGGTTCCTGTTTTCTCTTTGCCATTAAATTGTGAAATCTACTTACTGTGTTGCCAGCCTGATCCCACTCAAGCTGCGTAATCTCCTTGTAATAGA